GCTTATTTAAATGGCATTGATACAGATAAGTATATAATGAAATATTCCACTGAGGGACCTGATGCTAATTGATACTGTAAAGGTGTGCCTAAGCTATCGGGAAATTAAGAAATAGAAGATGAACCAACTGTTTATAAGACATTCCAGAGTACCCATGGCTATCCAAAGTTGTATAGGGGATTAATATTCGATTAATTGTAAATAATAATGAAAGTTATATACATAAAATATCATGATTTTTATGCAAATAACTAAAGAAAATGCCCGAAATTTAGGTCATATTCATTTTAAAACTTTCATGAATTTGAAAGATTACCGGATTAGCAGATAGCCTCGGATTAAAATATACTAATTTTTATATTTAATTAGAGTTTCGGGACTACTAGTAAATCAGTAATATGATATGTATTCACTCAATTTTATTTAAGGTGGTGAAGGACGGGTAGTAGAATTTTCCCACAATGATATGAGTAGAGCTGTCGTTTCCATTGAATTTCACATTGTCTTGCTTTCCCAAAAGGTGTTCTCATTCAGGGTGAACTAGATCTTCGCATTGGTTTTATCAACACCCCTGGCAAAAGTCAAACCATGACAGTCCAGAGTGTAAGCTCGAAACGTTAACCACTACAGCACATTGCCACAGGTGCCCTTGGGTCAGAGGAAAGATGTGCATTTTGAGGAATGTCAGGCATTTTCCATATCACATTCTGTGTTGGGATTGAGGATGAAACAAACTTGAATTTACTGTAGCAATCGACGACATTACTTTTTTCGTGAGTAGGTTCTCGAGACTACCAGTAAATCAGATATGAGTCTCAAAAACCTGATCACTTACGAAAAAAGTAATGTCGTATATTGCTATAGCAAATTCCAGTTTGTTTTATCCACAATCCCAACACAGAATGTTATATGAAAAATGCCTGACATTTCTCAAAATTCACATCTTTCCTCTAACCCAAGGGCACTTGTGGCAATGTGGTGTAGTGATTAACGTATCGAGCTTACACGCTGTACTATCATGTTTCGACTCCCGCTGGGGGTGCTGATAAGACCTATGCGAGGTCGAACCTGCAGTCCATCCTTTTAGGAAAGCAAGACTGTGTGAAGTTCAATGGAATTGCCAGATCTACTCATATCATTGTGGGAAACTTCAACTACCCGTCCTTCATCACCTTAAATCAAATAGAGTGAAAACATCGTATGTCTCTTAGTTATTCAGTCCGAAATCCTTCGTGATTTCTTGTTCATCATATTCTGGAGTTAAAGCGAATCTACAGGAGTCAGAATCCTGGCCAGATCACACTTGAGCTTTGACTTCATATTTATAATCTTAAATGACTTATTCCTCTCCATATCATACGTTTCTCTTACCTTTTGAATAGAGGCTTTTTAAATAATCTTATTGGCCCTGTTCAAGTGGTGAAGTATATTAAAGAAATTCAGTATAAATATTCAGTAAAAGTCTCATAAAGTATATGCATCTTAATAATCAATTTTTTCTCACCTTGCTACCTTGACTACTGGTCTGACTATTTGCAGTGACTATTGATTCTTCATTCACCAATTCAGCGGTTGAGTTGCTAGAGTTCTCCATCGATCGAATCCTGGATTGTCGGACAGACTGATTCCCGGATGTCCTCGTGACCGCAACTTCTGAGACCTTACCTCGAGGCATGCTGCTTGAGCTTGGTGTTGCCATGGTTGAGGGCACCTCAAGTTCGTGAGGCTCATGTGCCATCTGGGCATGCTTGTATAGCGACATCTTTAGACCTCCACCTCGACCGCCACCTGAGCCCCCCGCAACGCCAGTCATGCGCTCTTTTGTGAAGCGTCGTAAGGCAGTGACCACATTCACGGGTGATATCAAATGGAAGGCGAGCTCTTGGCATTGAAATGGTTCAGGCTCTGTTTCCGGACCTTTGTCTATTGTCCCACTATCTTGTGTTAGGGAACCGAAAGCCTCTGTGGTGTTCTGCTGGCCAGGCGAGGATTTAGACGACTTCTCGGCATGCAATGATTCACTAGCATGGTCGATGTTGAGCAAGTTGGCTTCCGATATCTGAGGCAGTAGATCCTCACTATGCTGTATGCTAAGTGAAGTTGACTTAGCCTGCTGAATGGAAAGACTAGTCTGTTCTGATACTTTTGACTAGGGCAAAATAAAGAAATTATAGAAAAAACTTAACCATTAGCCACCTTTAAGCTTTGATGTCTAATTTTTTTTTCATTTGTACTATAAGTAGAAATGTTTTGTTACTTAGAATAACTGGATGGGAATGGTCTAGATAATTGGAGAAAGC